TATTGTTAGTTACATCATAATGGTAATACCAATTATAATAGTAACTAAAATGTATTGAAAGTTCCATGTGCTAGCTATGGAATTATATATATATATATTAACATTTGATTTAATCCCTAAACATGAAGGAGAAGCAACAGTTTTCTCGCACCTATATTCTCAGGACCAGCTTAAACATAAGGAAGTAAATGGGATATATTTGATAAAAGAATGTGTACACAAACAAGGGCAATTCCACATAGTGTCCAAGCTGGCCATCTTCAGTCAACCTGATTCTTTTTTTTTTTTTTTTTTAAGAACTGTAGATTGAAAACCATACTCTGAGAAATTTCACACTAAATATATAGACTAACAAAATAATAGAGCTGAAAACAACCTCAGAAGAAACCTCATTTTATAAATGTATTCACTGGTTAGGTGACCTTTGACATGTGACTTAACCTCTTCCTGAACAATACTTTTAATAACAGCTGGAGGGTAGCAATTCCCTCGCAGGATTACATAAAATGAATGAGGATCTCCTGCTCTGGTATCTGGCTCTCAATAGGTGACTGATGTTATTCTCTTGGCTTGTGAGTGCAGAAATGTAAAAGTGGTATGCTTGTTTTAGGAACCAAAGAATTATCAAGATTATCTTAACACATTGCATTCTGTGAAGGATAGAACAAAAATCATCATAAATTATAAAAAATTAACCCTTTTTTCCTAGTCATTACAAGTGATTAGAATTTTGCAGAGCTTCTTCAGTCAAATTAACAAACAAAACAAAACCAAAAATCTCAAAAAGAAGAGAGAGAGGGGCTGGGCTGTGGCTCAGCGGTGGCACACTTGCATGGCACATGTGAGACACTGGGTTCCATTCTTGGCACCATATAAATAAAGAAAGTGTATCAACAACTAATATAAACATGTGTACACACACACACACACACACACACACACACACACACACACACACATATATATATATATATATGAAGAGAGAGAATTGGAATTCTCCAAAGAACTAAACCCCTTTATTTTTATCATTGTTGTTGGTTATATCCTAATGGTAACAATCAATTATATTAGCAACAAAAATATATTGAAAAGTTCCCATGTGCCAGCTATGGAAATTTATAGATATTGACATCTAATATAATCCCCAAACTATAGTAAACTGGAATTCCTATGATGATTAAAGAAAAGGTAGTAAAAGACAAGCACAATACCAACAAAAGTAGTGGATGGATGGATAGTTTTAAAATCATTATTGACGAAGTGTATAACTTACAGCAATGCAAGAAAGAATTCAAACTAACTTTTGAAAATTACATTGTGGATTTTATACAGGAAAACATTACAATAAGGATTGTTATGTTTACTGAAGTATAGCATATATATCCCAGGTTATAAAGACCACAAGGACACTTTTCATCACAAGTCATTCAACATTTCATGGGATACCACAAGCCCCACCTCTTTCTCCTGCTTTGTTTTTCTCCTGAGTACTAATCATCCCCTGGCCTCCTAATTGGTTTTTTCCTACAACTCTTCTGATGAGAAGCAAATCCTGTGAAGGCAGGATTTCCATGTTTTGCTCACTGCTGAATACCAGTTTCCAGGTGCTCAATACTGTTGTGGATTGAATAAAATGAAGGCAGAAATTGAGGTTGTAAAAGGAGTCAGAATCAAAATGGAGTTAATTTGTGAAGCCCACACAAAAACATAAACAATATTATTATTATTATTATTATTATTATTATTATTATTATTATTATTATTATAGAGCTGGGAGATTATGAAGGAGAAAATTTTGTTTGTAGGGTGCTTGATAACAACAACCATTGATAAAAGACTACCAGAACCACAACCTTGCAGGAGAATACTTCTGCCAGGACTCCTATTCAGGAGTTGTCTTCTCAAATTTGTCACCAACCTTGTGGCCCAGGATTATTCTATCAAAGTAATTTACATAATCCTTCTCATTTTGCCTTTAAAAATTTTCCCTTGTCTCAACCTCTTTGAACACACACATAGTTTACCATGTCACATATATTTATATTGCAGTATTCTACTAGTTCCAAATAAATGTGCTAATCTTTGGAGAATCTTTCTCTGTATGTTCCTTAGATTGGCAAGACCCATAGAGATTAAGTGCTTTTTATTTAACTAAAAAGTGGCTGAACCAGTACAGTTATTGCAACACTTCTATGTGGCAGCACTTCCAAACTCTTATTCAGTCCTCTTATTTTCAATCTCTCTCTCTCTCTCTCTCTCTCTCTCTCTCTCTCTCTCTCTCTCTCTCTCTCTCGCCCTTTTTATTAGCAGTTGCAGGGCTGAGAAATATTTCTGAATTGTGTTAAAAATCTATATCCATTCTTCAAGTATTTCCTGTACATTCTTTTGTAGTTGCTTCTAGAACTTCCATTACAAAGGGGAAATAGTTTTGACTTTCAAAATTCCACAATCTTTGAAAAAAAACTACTCATTTTTTAAGAAAAAAATACTAGTCTTTAAGAAAAACTATTAGTTCATGAACAGTTAAATTGCTTAATGCCATTAGCCTGAATTAACCTTGTAAAGCTCTTTAAAGATGGACCAAACGTAGCCAAGTTTCAAATCAGTTGAATTTGTAGCAATGTGATTTCTTCTTTAAAAATAAGAGTTGAGCCAGACATAGTGGCCCATGCCTGTAATCCCCGTGACTTGGGAGGCTGAGGCAAGAGGATGGAGAATTCAAAGCCAGCATCAGCAAAAGCCAGGCCCTAAATAACTCAGTGAGACCTTCTCTCTAAATAAAATACAAAATAGGGTTGCAGATGTGGCTCAGAGGTTGAGTGCCCTTGAGTTCAATCCCCAGTACCCCCACCCCCCAAAAAGTATTGATAATAAGAAGAATTGATCCAGTTCCTTCTTGAAGAAATTGAGAGAGAGTAAATTGAAGTCAAATCTTAGGGTTACTCGGGAATAGTAGACATAATGAGGAAAGAAGCACCAAAGAAGTCACAAAATGAAGACAATGCTATGGGCAATCAATTAGACTGTTGCACCACTACCACCCCCAAAGTGTATTTTAGAACATATAAGTCTTTACTACAAAACTATTAATCAAATGTGAGAAAGATTTGCTAGAACAAAGAGACCAGGCCAGATGCAAACTTCACAGATCATTTCAGCCTTTATTCAGAAATGGGACTACACAAACGGGAATGGACCCACTTTCCTGAACAAAAGAGGGGACTGGGCTCATGTAGGTTATACTGAGAGGTGACTTAATTAATGAGCGTGTCAGTTTGGACACTCAAAAATTGGGGGTCTGTTTTACCAGGAGAAATGAGAGGGAGTCTAGGGTCAGCAGTCAGGCTCTGGGATTTATCTTATTAGACCTAATGGAGGGCCTGGGGTGGTTGATATCTGGAAAGGATTTGTTTACAGAAAGATTAATGCTTTGGCCTCTTCCCAGAGACTGCTTTTCTAAGTTTTATGGACACCTCTTCCCCATGTTTTGTTTTATCACCCGGAAAGAATGTATTGGGAAAGGATCAGTGCTCTCGATGTATGCTTTCCTTTTCATTCCCCCAGGGCTCACTATTTTGAGGATTTGTCATTTTCCATATTTAATAAGAATACAGACACTTTCAGATATGAAAAAGATTAAAAAAAAAAACATCACATACCCAGACTAAGATGATATTTAGAGAATTACCACTAAAAAAACCTAAAAAAACAAAACAAAACAAAACAAAGAATATGGGGATAATATGGAATACAGAAAAACCATGGGTCCAACCAGGAGGGCATCAGTCCAATCAGGGCAAAAAGACAGTCAATATAGGTAATAAATGGTAAGTCAAGAAAAAAGAATTAAAAGTGATTCTTTATAGAGGTTACCATTGGGTATAAGGGAGGATGGCACAAAAGATAGTTTTTTATGTTAAGCTTTTTTTTAGAATTTCATTTTCTTGAAACAATGTACAGTATTATTACAACAGAAATAAATTCAAGCAAAGAGAGAGAATCCAATCATGGCTTAGTCAAACCTTAAATCATTTTGCATAGAAATTCATCTACTCATTAGAAAAGCTCAAATCCTTGTTGCCTTAGAAGTGTGCTATTTGAAGTTACTACCCAAGGGAGGAATTTATGAACATTACCCTATTTCTTGTAAAGATACAACCATCGATAACAAGCTCAAATAACTTCTTAAGCCTAAAAAGGCAATGAGGCAGAGTGAAGATAAGAAGATATTTAGTTTTGGGAACTCAAAGATCAGTGAGCTAAAATGACTTAGCTGCTTATATGTTCTTTTGGCAACGATGACAGTTTAGAAGTGAACAAAAAGAAAAAACAACATTAATATCCCTGGCCTTCTCTCAACCTCAACATTTTTCGCAGCTGGAGATTCACATTGTTACACAGAAATGTTTAACACAAGCATCTGGGATTCATTCATGTCGATTGTTGCTCCTTAAGAAGGGCATTCCTTATTTAAAATATTAACCTTCTTTTAAGGACTATTTCAGAAGAAATGAATGTCCCCTCCTTCCTATTCCTTGCCAATGCTCCATTTCAAAGTTTTGACCTGCTCCAGGAAATTGAAAAGGAACTCCCTTTCTACATCCTAAATGTCTCTTCATTTCTTCTGTAAAAGCTTAAGGACCATCCTCAGGGTGAACAGCCTCTCCTGGATCCTCAAACCTGTTTCCAGATGTGAGCCCCCAAGGTAGAGAGCAGACCTAGGCTTCTAGCCCTTTTCCAGATGACAGCCTCCAGAAAGATGACTGTGGTAGAGAGACCTAATCCCCTGATTCCAGATGTAGGCCAAAGAGCACATGAATAAATTGAAACATCTCCTCTCCCTACCATGTGTAATTCCCTAAGCAAGAAAACCTTCTGATGCCTCTCCAACAACACTCCACACTAAGTCTCCAGAGAGCTATGTCACCATAGATCAAAGTCTTATTGTTTTGTCTCTCTTCCTATTTCCATCCTCAACCCAAAGACACTCGATTCCTCACCTGGGTCAAGGTGCTTATCTCCGGGCACACTTTGGAGATTAGGTTATTTTGAAGACATAGATTCTTCAGGTCAGGCAGTAGTTCTAAAGTTGAGGGCATCTTTCTTATTTTTTTCCCATTCAAAGTAACGATCTGAGTTTGTCCATGACCCTTTATTGCTCTTATTAACAATCTCTCAGTCATGATCTTTGAAGAGAAGTAGAAAATGAAGAAAGTAATGTCACATCAAAGATTAGAGTTCTTTCTTATTCATCTTTAGAATCTTTAACTGTAGAATTGGTGTGTCATAGAAACAGAAACATTCTGAGATCCTCCCTGGTGAAGGTAGGAGGCACTGGATGGTTTCCTATAGAAAAGGCAGAGAGGGAAAATAGCTGGTTCAGGTTTGGAGCAGGAAATGTGCAAGATAAACCTTGAATACCTTAGGCCAGAGACAAAGATGTTATCAAAGACAAGATCACATCAAAAGGACACAGGAGCCAAGTTCTGAGAGCTCCACTAGTTTAAGATGAAAAATACTGAAGATCTGGGGAGGAAAAAATTAGAGTGGATTGAAACACATCAAACCATATTAAAATCTAAAGAGTTCAAAATGGTATTTTTTTTTAAAGAAACTCATTAATCACACTGGGAGTTGCTAACTCAATATGAAACTGATAAGGAGGAAGAAATTAAGCTTTATTCTGTTCTTCTAGTATAAATTGCATCAGCATAATCTAATAATTAATAAAGCTTTTATTCATAGAAAAATTTAAGCTAATAAATACAGAAGAAAAATAGCTTTAGAAGATTAACTATTTTTGCAAGTTTCTAAAGCAATAAAGAATCTATGCAAAAATCAAATTGAATGCTAAAAGTATTCAATGAAAGGTTGCTAAGAGACTTTATAAGGAAGGAACCAAGTTAATAATTTAACTAACTAATCAATTTTAGTCGTCATTAAAACTGGGGCAATCACATGTTATAAATTCTATGTAGGATGTAATAAAAAGTACACAGTACCACCAAATAAATTTTCTTGCCTAAAAGAAAAAAATTGAACCGGAATCAAATCATGGCTTCAAGATCTAATTACCCATTTTCTAGACTGCATATTAAAATTCTTTTCAGGAAAGCATTCAGTTAAATCTAGAACATGAAAAATTTTATAGGGCCAATGGCACAAGGTTTCATCAACAAATCAATGATTTCAATAAAAAGAGAGAAAACTGCTGTGAAGAAAATGAAACATAAGACAAATAACAGACAGATGCAATGTCAGACCTGGGCTGACTCCTGATTTGAATAAAAATATCTTGGAGTCAATAAAGGAAACTTATTCATGGACTGTGTATTAGGTAATAGGAATTATTAATCTGGTTTTCTGTAATAATGAAAAGGTGTATCACTTAGCTTAAATGGACTTAACATTTAGAAATGCATACTGAAATTTTCAGGTGGAATAAGATGATGTCTTGGATCTTCTTAAAATTGCCCAGGGGAAACAAGTGTTCAGAACAGATTGAACAAGATTGAGAAAACATTGACAATTACCAAGGCTGAGTAGGAGGTATGTAGAAGCTCATGACGCTAGTTTTGTTATTATTGTGTACATTTGAAAAAAACAAAAAGAAGGATGGGGAAGCTACAGCCGACGATATTTGATTATTACTAGAAATTCATTTTTGTCCTGATAGGAGGAGACTTGGAGGTATTTAGGGATATATATATATATATATATATATATATATATATATATATATATGATTTAGATTGCTAATTTCCAAAAATGTAAACATTGTAAAATATATTCCATCTTGAAAGTATTCTGATCACAAGTCAACTGTTCCTTTGGTATTCAGGAATCACTTTATTCATTTATTCAACAACATTAAATTTATAGTGACATCATGCAAACATCATTATCCTAGCAGTAAAATAACAGGTACTGATTAATAGTGACTTTCAGTTATAAGGAGGACAGATAAAACAATTTTCAGCTACCTCATTACTGTTCTTTGTCTTATCTCTTCCAAATTGATCTTTTAAATATAGTTTTATAAGAATCAAATTATTATATCTAAACAAAACTATGTCTTCATTAAAAAAAAAAAAACACACACACAAGAAAACCTCTCTTAATACTCATTACCTCTAAAGTGGTGTTGTAATGCTAGTACCCCAGCTGACACTAACCACCACTGGCTATGTGTTAACTGTCTTAAGTGGGTAGAGGCAACTCCAGACTGATTCTGTTTTCCGTTCAATTGCTGAACTTATAACAGTTTTTGCTTTTTGTTGTGGTTTAAATATGAGGAGTCTCCCCCAAAAGCTCCTGCTAGTGCAGGAATATGCAGAGATAAAATGATGAGAGCTATAATCTAATCAGTCTGTCCTCATTTGAATGGACTGAATAGATAGCAACTATATGCAGGTGCGATGTGGCTAGAGGAGGTAGGTCCTGCATCTTCCCTGCCTCCCCTTTCCTGACCTTGCCATGAGCTAAGCCCTTTTTCTCCCCTGGGTCCTTCCCCCATGATATACTGCCTCACTTTGGACCCAGAGCAATGGAATCGGTTGCATATGGATTAAGACCTCTGCAACAGTAAGCACCAAATAAACTTTTCCTCTTCTAAGTTTTTCTTGTTGGATATTTTGGTCACAGCAATGCAAAAGCTAACTAAAACACTTTTCAATTCTAAAGAACGACTCCTTTATATTTAACGATTCTTCCTATGCTCACCTCTCTCCTCTTATCTTTTACTATAGGCAACTAGAAGATTCTTTCTTAAAAATTTTTATTCTTAAGTTTTAGGTGGTCACAATATCTTTATTTTACATTTATATGATGCTAAGGATTGAACCCAGTGCCTCCTGCATGCTAGGCAGGCACTCTACCACTGAGCCATAACCCCAACTCCAGCTAGAAGATTCTTAAGAGCACTTTCAACATTCTGCCCAGAAAGCTCCTTAGCTATCATCTAGTTGATGAAATAAATATTTTATTTTTCACTGTTAATACTGCCAGCATTGCTAGCTTTCTGCTACTATGTAACATGAATCACCTTTCTTCTAGCTTCCAACATTTTCCTTCCTTTAGACCCTCACTGACAGCCTCCTAGTGACATGTCTCTTTTTGGGGGGCAGGGAAGGGTCTACCAGGGATTGAATTCAGGAGCACCCAGCCACTAAGCCACATCCTCAGCCTTATTTTGTATTTTATTTAGAGACAGGGTCTCACTGAGTGCCTCGCTTTTGCTGAGATTAACATTGAACTGGAGATCCTCCTGCCTCAGCCCCCCAAGCAGCTGGGATTACAGGTGTGCGCCACTGAATCCGGCTGACATGTCTCCTTTTAATAGATTCTCCAAGGTCCTTCTAACTTGCATTCAAGGCCTACTCCCAAAACTACTGCTACATGGCTTAGGTATTTTGCTGTAGCAGCAAATTCTGCATCACATTTCAATCCGAAAGTAAAATAAAAACAGAAATTATATGGAATATGGGATTTATTATAGGAATTTGACCATATATATGCCTATTGCTTTTGTGCCTACTGCTGTGCCTGCCCCAACATCCAGAGAAGCCGAAGGAGAAGAGTTGTCAGAAATGGGAAGAAACTTCATGCTCAGCTGTGAATTCATTCCAAGGAGTGAGTTAGAAAATCAGGGACAGAGGGCATGTTATTAACAATTGATGCCTCTGCACCTATTGCATTGATTTTACAAGCTGTCACTTCACATATGGCTTCCAAATTTTTTGCACAATGTCTCCTGTATCCAGGATTGGTCTGAAAATATTCAGGGAAGAAGATCCTGAGGTAAATCCAAGGTAGCTAATAGGTACAACACAAATCCACCACAATAGCACCCTTCACACTTGTCTGCTTCTCTTTCCACTGTTAATATCATATTCCAAACTCTCATCATTTTACATGCTTCCATTATACTCTCCCAGTCATCAGTCATCTTTCTACTATATGTGAACAGAAAATCTTTGCAGTGTCTCATATTGCTTATTAATTAAAATACCAGCTACTGAATTGAGACTAAAGACTTATGACAGGATAGTCCCAGGGACATCACATGTCATTTCCTTACACAAACCCTGTACTCTGCTCTTAGAAAACAACTTGCTAGTCCTCAAGGACATCAGATATATTTACCCCATTCCTCATGCTGCCTATTTTGCCTATATGACTTTTCCTCCTATCTACCTGCCTAACTTCCTAATCCTTTGAGGAACATGATCAAATATTTCCACACTGTTTTCCTGGAACTGTGACCTTCTCTCCAGGCAGAATTGCTTCTACATCTATGTTTAAAGAGGACTTTAGATAAATTCCAATTGCTAATTTTGTTCTTTTCGTATCTCTCCCTGCTATACTAAGCCATATTTGAATGGAAATCTCCAATAGCATGCTTGGCATAGAGCAGGCATTCAGTAGATGTTTATTAAATTGAAATGACAATTTAGCTTGAGGTGATGTCTGAAAGAGCATGACATATAAAGTACAACTGTGACATAAAGTTCATGCAAATATAGGAAAAAAGAAAAGAGAGAGGCCTGTAAATTAAAAATATCAAGTGACTACTATTTTTCAGACACTGTCCAAGATGCATAATGTAGTCATCTCTGTGTGTGCAGGTTTTGCATCCACAGATTCAAAACATCGAAATCACAATTATTTAGAAAAAAATAACTGTTTGCACTGACCATGTGCAGGATTTTGGGGGTCATTATTCCCAACAATGCAGTCATAATGACTATTTACATAGCATTTTCATTGTATTGGGTATTTTAAGTAATCTATTATATGGAAGGGTATGCATAGGTTACATAAAAATAATACAATATTTTATATAAGGGACTTGAGCATCCACAGACTTCGGTATCCAAGTGGGGTCCTGGAATCAATCCCCTGCAGAGTCTGAGGGACAAATACATACAAATAAGACAAAGTCATTGTCCTTAAAGTGCTTAAATGTCTAGATTGAAGGTAAAAATGAAAATAGATCAATTTTTATTAAATATTGAGTACCATTACATTCCAGAAACCATTATAGCACTGAGGCACAGGGCACACACAACCTGGCTTCTCTCATGAAGCTAACACTGCATTACAATTAAGTAAATGCTAGTTTAAATTAAAAAAAAAATGGGGGGGGGTGAAGAGCCTGATCCTGTTGGTTCAAGGATGATTTACTGCTGTTGACGGCTAAGTGCTGGCATAACAGGTGAAAAAACAACCAACTAGTTGATGAAGTAAATGTGAAAGAGGAAAATATTTAATTAAAAGAATGTAAAGAAAAAGTTCAGAGGTTAGGAGGAATATAAATAATTGTATGACAAATAGAAATAAAAGGGGTGAGGTGAAGTGACACTGGAGGGGTATGCAGGACTAGTCATGAATGTCATCCCTTAAATAGCATAAAAACGGATCCCATCCCAAGGGAATGGAGAACCACTGGAAAGTTTAGGTTAGGAAGTGTATTAACATATAATTAGGATTTGTTTTAATTGGGTATGGTAAGACTCACAGACATTGAAGTGAATATCAAGAAGGAAGAAGTTTATACTTAGATCCCTAGAAATAGGAAGAATGACATAGGGCCACGTAGGAAAGGGCCAGCATGGGTGAGGTAGAATAGCATAAATAGAAGGCAAAGTCTCAGAGCCTTTACTGGGACTTCTAGTGGAAAGATATAGCAGGCAAGGTAAACTG